GAAGGGAAACTTTCTGGTCTTGGGAGACGACTCCCTGCCCACAACACGTCCGGTCGCTCTCGGGTCCTTGAGGTTGTCGATTCTAAAGATCCCCTTACGGTTCATTTCGGTCATCAAGACCATGACCTAAAGATCGCTACCGGTCGCTTTGGGTCTTCGAGACCAATGACCTGAAGGAGTTCTTCCGGCCGATGAGGGTTCAACACCTCATCGATCGGAAGGATTTCCTTCCGGTCAATGAGGTTGTTACACCTCATCGACCGGAAGGAATCCCTTCTAATCGATGAGGTTGTTACACCTCATCAACCGGAAGGAATCCCTTCCGGTCAATGGTATTGTTGTTTCTTATTGACCGGAAGGATTTCCTTCTAGTCATGTGGGAGCGACTCCCAAATCCCCTCAAGCATGAGGGGTGGTTTGGGGATCCGACTCCCAAAAATGCAAAAAAAAATATTAAAAAAAATAAAACATCATTGGATGGCCGACTCCCAAAGTCGGCCATCCATTTGGAAAAACGACTCCCATTCGACGTCGGACAACCGTATTTGGGAGTCGGAGACTAAAATTTGGGAGTCGTTTTTCCCAGCCCCTATACATATAAGATGTAATTGTATATCTTTTGTGTTGACAAGAAGGTTGGATGGTTTTGATGGTGACTGTTCAGTTGAACATGACAAGGCACTTGATGCAAGGTCATTATATTGGTTGCTGAGAAGCTTGAACATATTGGCTTTGATGATGATGATGATGATGATGATGATGATGGAATCTAGTGTATATGTAACAACTATTTCAGAATTTGAAATGCTTCAAGCATATGGGCATTGCCAGATGAAGGGGTGTGGATCAGCTAGGCTCTAGTATACAGTGCAGCCTGGAAGCAGATGTCCCAATCTGTGACAGAAGTCCCAGTTGTGGACTGTCAATCCTGGTGGGGGTGGATTGCCCTGGAACCAGGAGTTCAGTCACAAACTGCTGAACCCCTTGTGTCCAGAATAACCACCAAGCAAGACCACACACAAATTCTTTGATCTTTCAAGCATCTGGCTTTATGTTTTGCAATCCCTCTAACAAAAGCTGTGGAACAGCTTAACTTTAAGTCTGGGGACAAGGATCATGATATACAGTCAACTCCCTATCAAGCCATACCCCTTGGTGGACATGTTTTGCTATGGGTTATTCAGTCAAGGTTTTGGGCATCTTGCCCATTTTAATGGTGGACCAATTTCCTATAAAAATGTATGGCTTAAAAGGGGTTATGGGCTAATAGGTTATGGGTTAAGAGGGAGTCAACTGTACCATGTAGCCCTACCCCCCCCTTCAAGCCTCCATTTTTCACGGGTCTTGAGAAGACAGAAGCAGACTCTAAAACTTCAATGCATGATTGATGGATCAACATTTGGACACAGATAAATTGATCACAACTGTCTATTGAATTAAGGGGATCAGTGTCTGCTGTATCTCCTTTTTTTTTGTGGGGGGGGGGGGGGGGGGGGGGAAACCCCAAGGGTGCCCGGCCCGGCCCCCCATTTTGGGGGGGGTTCCCTTTCGGGAACCTTGTTCCCTTTTTCCCCAGGTTTTTTAAGGGTGGTGGTGTTGTTCCGGAGGACCACTGTTTTTTTTTGGACAAAAAAAGGACACTGCTTGTTGGTTGGGATTTTCCTAATTCCAAAACAAGGCACAAATGCTTGTGCAGAATGGTAGCCTAAACGTTGGAGAACAAGTGTGAGTGCTGGTTCAAATGATGAACACCTGTGAATCAGTAACAATTTTCAATCTGTTAGCTAGATTACATGGTCGTTTTCTTGCTGATTTGTCTTCCATGAGTGGCACAGGTGAAAGTACAGCACTTGAATGTCTTGGACAATTCTGCTCTGCTTGTGTTGTAATCAATGCAGGTGAAGAATACTTACAAAGACCAAACACAAAAAAATAATCTTGCTAGGATACTTGGTGTCTCAGAGGAGCAGGGATTTCCGGTTATGGTAGGCTCACTGGACGGTGTGCGCTGTGGTTGAAAGAATTGGTCCATTGCATACCATTGTCAATATAGCAGCAAGTAGAGATTGTTTGTTTGTGCCCAGGTACCTGTTCAATTTTTTTGTTGAAATTTATAATATAGCTGATGTGCAAGAGAAAGGAATATATTTAAGAGGAGGGCTAAGAAGGAAAAAGTTCTTTTTTTGGGAGAGGCTCATGGAAAAAAATGAAAGAACCAATAGTTTGTTTTATTCACTGGCATCAAGTCAAGATTAAATAGACTAAATACAACTGGTGAAAAAGTGGTTGTAAGAAATGAATAATAAAATCATATTAAATAATGAAATGAGAGCAAGAAACATGAGACTTTGGAAGAAACAAGTCAAATAAGGCTTCTCAATCTCTTTTAGTCAATCCAGATGAGTTAATCAAGAAAAACATGCCACAATCCACAGATATTTAGAGTTGCTAATTCTAAGTAATCAGGCTTTAATAAATTCAAACAATAAATCAGGAAAGAGAAGAATTCACCGTAGAGAGATGAGTAGCTGAGATGAGCTATTTACCTAGGGTTCACATTTGACTCAAAAGGAAGCTTCTAACAACCAAAGGCAGACTACTTGGAGGATATAATCTAAACAAAAGGAAGAAAGGGCAGAGAGAGAAGGATTGAAGAAACTTCAACACTTTACAAAAATAGGTACCAAGTGCTGCACCCGGCACCACCCAGCAGGTACCACCGGCGCTTTCCCTCTCTTTCTCACTTAGTTTCAGTAGTTACTTTTTCATTTTTTAATATTTATTGTAAAATATGCACACACATACCCCGCCCTATTGCAAGCCTGGGTTTCTAAAGTAACGGCAGGACACATATGTTGGGGGACAATTCTAGATGTATTTCAAGAGGATAAAGAAATATAACTAGAATAAGAAAGAGGGAGAGAGAAGGAGATAAAAGAAATGGATAATATTTTTCTTATAGTTTATTTGTTTTATAATCAAGTTTTTTGACAGTCTTACTTTCCCTCAAGGGATGGCTGTTTGTCTAGCAGATGAAGGATCTATGCCTCCTAACTCAAATGAAAACAAGAAGGGTAATTGGTATTGATAAATCAATCCAAGCTCAATTTTTAGATCTAAGATCATGGTTCTTTAAAGGGAAACCTATGTGGTTTTCAGTTATACCACCAAACATAGAAGATAATAACGGAATGATGTGATTGAGACAAAGAAAAAACTTAGCAGAAAGATGCAAGCTGAACTTGTGACTTGAATATTGGTGATCCTGAAACAATGAGTTGGAAGATTCCAATAGGTGAGGGACTCCTAACAATAACACAGCAATGATACAGCGGTGAATCCAAGTTGAGGTTTGCTGATTTCTGGTCTGAGTTGGCTCTGGGTGGCTCTGAACCTTGAAAATCCTGAAAAAGCGGACTTGGTATCCTCTGACAGGATTTTCAGAGTTGGATCACATAATCATTGATGAGACAGACAGTGTCTGGGTCAGGACAGGAGATAGTGGAAGGATAGGTGAGCATTGCATGTAGTAATGATAACATGATCCTAGAGCAAAACAAAAAGAAGAGAAAAGAGGAGAAGAAACAAGAGAAATGACTTACCTGGGTCAGGACAAGAGATAGTGGAAGGATAAGGAAAAAGAATCCTTCCACGTACTCAGGTCTGGCCCAGGTAAACTACAAGATTCGTGATAGGTCTGTGACAGGTATGTAGCACATAAACTGAAATGAAAGAGTACAGTGAAAATGGCTACTCAACAATCATTACATGTACATGTGGTTGGGAGAGATGGAAGTCCAACTTGGTTGATATTTCACAAGGTAAGGTGAAATGTCACAAATTCAATGAAGGGGAAGAGTAGTGTAAAAGTGGTTAGTGGTGACTAGGGTTGGAATTACACAAGGAATTCATTTATGAAGTCATAATGTAATAAAATCTCAAGCTGAATAAGCTCAACGGTGGGCCGCTACACTAACCGTAGTGGTTAGTGTAGCATAACACAGCAGAATTCCTGTTAGCACTAAGTGTAGCGCAGCAGAATTCCGCCACGACACAACACATCTAACGCTACGCTTGTGGGCCGCAAAAAAGGGCCCACTACGCTGCGCTACAGCGCTTGTTAGCGTTTTTTGGCCGCTTTTACTGCTAAAAGCACTGTAGTGCAGCGTAGCGTAGCAAAAATGCGCTACAAAAGCACTAACACTACAATTTTTTGATGCAAAAAAGCGCCCCAACGCTACGCTTTTTGGTCCAAAAGCGTAGCGGCCCACCTCTGATAAGCTCCAGTAGAAACATGGATAAAAAAGGGGGACTTAAGAAGCAGTTTGTTGGCCAGCTTGTCTGGCTCTAAGGCTGACACCTATTTTAGGGAAGTGGGGTGGTACTTGTAACAGTACCCACGTACTGCCTGTTTTTTTTCCACAAAAACATACACCCAGCACTGCCCGGCAGGTGCCTGAAGTGCCAAACAGAGCTTAACAGGTGCCGACAAACAATCTCTATTACCAAGAAAAAGGAGCCAATGATTATTCTTGAAGCAGTTTGGACACATAATATCTGGATCTGACACACATGTTTTTTGGGTCTCCCTGAACCTCTAAGTGATATTTATGTGCTCAATCAATCCCCAGTTGTTCAGAAGTGCCAAGATGGAATCAACCCACTTTCTCACTGCTTTGTGAATGGAGATAGATACTCCTTTGGTGGTCATGTTAATATCAAGATATTTGAAAAAAAAGTGAAACATTGGACAACAAGAAGACCAAGATGAAGTTGTATCACCTTGGAGGTTGGGATGCCAAAGCTGCAGACAGTAGCAGATTTGGTTTGCAATGGCAACCATCAGCAGCTTTCTCATCAGTGCTGCTAGAGGCAAAAACAGGAGGAAAGGCCGCTGAAGTTTCCCCCAGGTCCCATTTCAGCATGATCATTAGAGATTCTCTAGGACCAACCCAAAATAGGCTGTATGAACCCCAAGAAAATGAGAGCTGGGAATACAAGCTGATCCGGGGTTTCCACCACAAACAGCTTTATCTGAGTGATTTGAAGTTTTAAAAGAAAATCGATTTCAGCAAAAAGAAAAAGAATTAAAAGAATGAAAAGAGTGAAACCTTAAACATTGCTTCCTTTTTCAGAATATTACATGTTGGTCCAGGCAGAGTAGAAAAAACTTGGGCACATTGTTTTCACCTTGGTACTTGATTGATAGATCAGCTAGTGGTGTGGTTTTTTTCTGAAATTTGGATTTAAGAGCAGAGAAGTAATCTGCTTTAGGACTGGTTTGGTCTTGTCTCATATCATCATCATATCTGTCAAAGGAAGAAACAGGAGAAAACTTGTACATTGGATGGATTCAAAACAGTTTGCTTCTATTTACTTGGTAGTTTTTGTATTTTCTGCAAACCAATTAAATGACCATTGGATTGAGGGAGGAATGTGGTTAAAAACTGTAGACTATACAGTTGCAATACAGGGTAATTTCCCCAATCCAAATCTGCATAAAACTGCACTGGTCACACAACTGTGCACAGTTGACAAGCAATATTAAAAAGCTGCACACAATTCTGCAAATCTTTCTCGCAGTGCAGCAAGAAAAGACAAAAGACTCCTGTGATAGAAAAGAGTGTGATCCTGCGTACAGCTGAGATATCTTGAGACATGATCCAATGCCTCCCAGTGATGGATTCCAGGTTTCTCGAAGAATTGAGGCAGTGCGACAACTGCCTAGAGTAGCGGATTTTGGGACAAGTGGCCGAACTCAAATATCTTAGAGCACCAATCGTGCTTCCAACCTGTAGTTGTAACTCAGAGTGTCAAATTCCTAGTGGGAGGTTGGCAATGGAACCAAGACAGTGGCAACAGGTTTACCGCTGACCATGCCGTCGAGTTTCATCTTAAGGAGTTAGAGTGATATTGACACATGACCATTGCAGATGGATTGTAGATAATTTTTATTCTCAAGAACGATTCAACTCGAATAACATCCCACATGCCGAATTCATCCTTAGATCTCTCCTTGAAGACACCAATGTCTTTTTTCAGACCCAGCAATATTGTCTACATGAGTAAACCGCCATACTGGGATCACTGACAAAGTTACAGGGATGAGCCGTGACAACAGTCATCCAAGGAATCATTTTGAAAAGTTGACCCATTTTCACTCCAGGTGTTGAGTATCTGATTCCAGTTGAATAGATTATTTTTATAAGAATACAAGCGAAGCCCTATTAAGTTTTTAAATAAATATAAAAAGAGACGAGTCCATTTTCTCGGAGATTAAAAATTTTGTCAAAGGGTTGCTCCTCGACATTAAAGTATTACATATTTGAGGCTAATTTTTCTATTAATGTGATTTGGTTAATTTACCGATGAACATATCAGTTAATGTGCAAAAATCGACATCAAAAGTTGAAAGATATGTGGTCATTTGTAAAAGCGTGTCTGGTTAGTTAACCCGGGTGATGTTGCCTGAAAAATATGAATACAATAAAAAAGGTTAGTGATAACTTCATGGGATAACAATAATGAGGGGCGCGGGATTGTCTTACCACAAGCAATTCGAGCACCCTTAGCGTCATGAACAACTAATCCTCGTCCAATTATCCCAGATTCCGGTGAAAGGAATTGTAAGGTGCTATCGGTGTACGATGATTGTACAACGCGCTGGTTACCCGGCAAGACTCCGTGTTTTCCGCTTAGATCCTAGTAAGACCAAGTTCCGATGTCAGTTTAATTTGGTCTTTGAACCTTTAATTCAAGCAAAAATAAAATCAACACCACGTACCCCCTCCTGACATAGTCGTGGCATCATTGGATTGCAAGGCACGGAATCGGGAATTCCAGCTGCCGACAAATGTGCCCCGGCAGCTGCACAATCACCATCGGGTCCTACAGGACTGGCGTGGACTATCAGAAGAATGGAAAGATCGCATTAGACTAATTATTTTATTATTGAGTTAATATGAGGGTTTGATGTTGGGGGGCTTACTGTGATAAGCATGATTAGCTTGCGGAACGAAAGCTTCAAGTCCATTCACAACCACGTCGACTTGAACTTCTGTCAGAGTTGTAGCCCGGAAATCAATCACGCCGAAGATGGGTGCTCCAGTGGGGCTCAGCAGTATCGCACGTGCTTGAATTGGCTGAAAAGGACGTGTCGATTGGAGGAGAGGTAGTTGTGGAAGTCCGACTGAGTACTTGGCAAGGGATAAGCACACTAATCCGGAAATAAATGAGGAGCGCATCTTGATTTGACTTGTACGGGTGTTGTAAAATAATAGACAAGGATCTAGAGTCGGTAATTGGAATTGAAAACAATAGATAGTAACTGTGGTGAAGGGATGATTATTGTTATTATGAATAGATAATATTGCTCGCAATGAGGAAAAAAAGACTGCTACTATTACTGAATTAAACGGAAGAAGCCAGCTTCAAGATTCAAATGGATGTGAACTGTGTATTGAACAGATGAGAGGAGCGACCTAAAGACACAATGATATGGTCTTTTATAAACACATCGGTTCTCTGCCTTGTGGTAAAGGTGATCCAGTTCTCTAGACCGATTTCATAACGATCTTTCGCTGTTTGACGTTAGAGTTCGTTTGTTGGCGTGGCTTCGCCTACTCAAGACGACTGTAGCAGTTCATGTCTCTCTGAACCCGCCAAAGCCACCCACGTAGTACCTCATTATGATGACGAGGTCCACGCAAGGCTGGGCACTTGCATGGCTCTTACCGAGGCAGAAAACGCTCAAGATCGGCAAGACTTGTCACTATCTATCGCCATGTGCCCGATAAAAGAAAATGGCCTCAGTGAGGCAGACGGGCCGTAGCAAGACAAACGGACCGTATCTAGATAAACGGGCCGTAGCAAAAAAAAAAAAAGGGCCGTGGCAAAAGGTAGTAGGTAAACGGAGCATACTGTATGTAGCTGTAAGACAAACGGACCGTGGCAAGACAGACGGGCCGTAGACAAACGGGCCGCAGTAAGACAAACAGACCGTAGTAAGACAAACGGACCATAGTAAGACAAACGGACCGTAGTGAGACAAACGGTCCGTAGTAAGACAAACAGGCCCTTGTTTCTTTGAAATCCCATAGTTCATGGGCGCAACCATTCATGATCCCAGTGCCAAAGTGATCAAACCAACTCTTGTATTCATCAAGATCTCGAGTTTTACGAATTTTCATAACCATTCTTATAGGATCTAAGTACAAGTGGTATTCGTAGCGCTTCATTGAACGCATTGTACTGTAATTGAAAATTCTATTAATAAAAAGGAAGAAGCAATAATAAAAAGAGTTATGCGGATTTCAAGACCATTTCTGGTCGCTACAAGTTGACAGAAAGAAATCTACCAGGATTCAATGGACCATCAATCAGACCCATAGCCTCGAAGTTGAACCAGAACCTCTTTTTACACATGTCGGACCCACATCTGGAACAATGTTACATTTTTCTGCGAGAGCTTTTCCTCTTTGAAGCATCTCGAACTGAGGAAGAGCAACACTCAAGATGTTCACTGAAACCTCGGAATAGGCGGGAAGGCGCAATTCTGATCGGATAAGATAACAGGTGAATCAAAAGGAGGGCGCCACTTTCTGAACTTCGAAAGAATCTCTTCTTTTTCAATTTGATGAGGGACCGGAGGATTGCGTGCTGGAATATTACTGGGCTTCGTCGATTTTGGTAATAAATCGGTTTCTGGTAGCGAAAGTGAGGGAGAACGCGTGTCTGATCTTGTGGACCAACTTCCCTCTGAGGATGCGAATGACGCTCGCCCTAGAGGATTTCGAAATTCAGCATCATGAATCCTTCGAAACCACACTGAGACTTTGAGCTCACTGGATTCCCATCCGTTGCTTGAGATAGCAGAGCCTGAAAGTATATCAACAGATTCTTCAGCTTTGTTCCAGCGATCCATCTCTGCCAGATGTTCAAACTCACTATCATGTTTTTCCTCGGGCTTGACTATTTGTTCCGAATTGCATGGAGATAATATAAAAGATATGCTCATGCGGTGTTGGGTACTTGGGACCACCGCCTCTTCCGATGGGGGGACACATTTAAAAATCGGGGCTTTCGCTTCTCTCGCGATGCGTCTCTTTTTTGAAGAGCCTCCAGAGTTTGATGCATGTTGGTTACTTTGACCCATAGGGTTAAGTGTCTGAAAGGTTGTTGCGCTGGAGGTGATCAGGTTGTGACAAGTTTCCAAAGGCCCAAACATCAATATTCATGACAAATCTGAACCTCATTGAATCGTATCTAATCAACTTCACCTACCCTTCAACATGCTGAGTTGGAAAGCGCTTTCGATTAACATCCGACATTGCCTCTAGGCTTGGCTCATCTTTCCACGGCATTGCAGTGGAACGCTTTCGAAACTTCCTCCTGGAGGATTTTTAAAACCAAAAATATGGTCGCAGTCAGCATTCACAAGAATAAGCTTGTCTATTATATGGTAATCATCTGTCCTCACGGGGCTTCGCGCTGTAACCATGTCAATTTTCGAACCAGCAATTCCCATTCAAATCGATATGCGACTGTTTGCGACAAAGCAGGAGGAGATGGAGGCGCCGCAGGAGGAGGTGGCAGAACTGGCTTGTAAATATTATAAGCAGGAGATTCTGGATTGAAAATCCAACCATACACCTTGCACAACTGGTTGCGATTTTTACCTATGTCATGGAAGCCGTCTTGATTAATCTAAAGGAAAGATCGTGGAGTTGAAAGGCTCGAACTTACAATGATTACAAGGACCACCGGTCACCGACAAACTATGGGAGGAAAATTATCAGCTCGTGTTGAAGACGCGCAAATATTTAGCTGTTAGGCTGGCTCACCTGCACTTCACATGGCTCGTGCGACATTGGTCGCAAGCGCTAAAATTGTTTACCTAAAGGAAATGAGATAAGTGACACGCCTCCACATTCTTGAAGAATATGAGAACTGGGGAAGCAGTTCGAAATTACCTTGACCCATCCCATCTGATCGGGAAGTTTCACAAAAACAGGACCGGCTTGATCATCTTCTAAATCCGATTCATTCCTACAGATGGAAGGACAGAGATGAGGGGAAGGTAGTTGAAAAATTGGATTATAAATTATAATAGAATTAGAAGTTGACCTTGGACCTTTCTGGATGAGCATAACTTTCTCTGGTTGTTCCATGGTAGTTACTATGCTGGATGCAGTCATGGCTATCGAGAACGTCGTCTGTGATTCTACTGATGATCTATGATGCCACTATTGACTATGATACAGAATAAGTTGTTCGGAGGTAAGACTGGGTAGGATATCAGGATAATGAAATGGCAAAGAAAAGGCTGGATGGGACTACAATTGAAATTGATCACTAAAATTGAAAACAAGAGCTCAATGATGATGATGGGTAGCTCCAACTTGGGAATGGAAATGGAGAAAGAATCAAAATTGGCAACGAAGAATTTACCCAGAACCCCCGTTATAACAGCAGAGCAGACGGACCCTTTAACTGTGCATACTTCTCAGCTTGGGTGACAGCGAATTGGGCTCAACATGTTACATAATAGTGGGGTTGATGATGTGATAGTTTTTGCCTGCTCAGGAAAAGAAAACCAACTACCCAGGTAGTGATATTGTGACCGCAGCACATGTAAAAAAAAGTTGAAGGGCGGATAGATCTACGTGAAGCCGCAGATAGTTTGAGAGACGACAGACATCCACCGCACTGCAACGGAAAGCGAGTGGATGTATCCTCCAGCGCGACTCTGGTACCCCCTACTGTCACGGCGGAGTCTTACCTCAAACGATCGTCGGTGTCGGGCTAATAGCCTGTTCGGATCAGATGCAGACGACGTATGTACTTTGTACGTACATGAGCACATGAGTTGCTCACCTAAAATTCGGACCGCCGGTAAGTTTTCCGAATACATATTTAATATGCACAGGTCCCAGCCAGGTTGTATGAATATGTCTCAAGACTTGAAGACAAGCTGAGCACCTGTCCATGTCGTCACCCAAATCAGTACAGATTAGGTTCATGACCCTCGTCCAGTTGGAAGCGTATAACTATCAATCGTAGGCTATGCACATCACCGGTAACCGCATGTGCGCCTGTTAGTAATCCCCGACCCTCCATCGGGGAACTTCCAAAACAGCAGCATATGTTACATGCCTCGCAACGATCAATCTGACAGATGATTCTGAAGCGGACACAAAGAGCAAATTGATATTTTGTAGCAAACGTAGAGCGTGACACAGATCAGAAATGATTGATTGCACAAGACCACGAAACTTCTGAAGCCAACCGACAACAACCGAGAAGCACGCAAGTACAATCCATTCCTGGTGTTTCCCGGTACTATGCATGTATTAGGTGCGGGGTTCTTTGTCTCTCTCTCTTGGGGGGGGGGGGGGGGTCACTTTTGTGACCCACAAGAAAGCCGCGTTGTCGCGGGTGTCACCCGCGAAGTGTGAGCTGCTTTCTCTCCACTATGTAAGACTAACAAAAGCGCTTCCTCTCAGTGACTCTGAGGGACTGGTGCTAGCGCGCCTCTCTCGAGGCGTGCCGGTACCTGGCCCCTGGAGCGGGGGCACTGCGCTAGGCTAGCTGTGTCTCTAGCTGATGTGTACCTTTTATAAGTTAGGTGGTTTTTTTTAACCGCTGCCGGAGCTGCCAAGGAAGACGGGGTCATGAACTTCGACGGTGTATACGTCACTGCTCGCCACTCCCTCTTCAGCGCTTCGCCCAGGCCGGTGCCTCCGGGTGTGTGTCGGGTGTAAATTTGTAAAACAACTCAAGGCATAAAACCTTACTGCAAGAGGGTGGTTCCGAGCCAGAACTTAACGTGAGCGATCCAAATGTAAAAGTGGGAAAGATGATCGGGGCTTGGATTCGGAAGGGGTGAATGAGCTATGAACGTGGTTGGGAAGGGGTAGTCGGCCTGAGTCAGCGGCATATTTAGACACTGCTAATATTTCCTTTCTCATAGTTTGTTGTAAGCCTCGCGAGTCTCAGTGGCTTGGACATTGGCACGACGGTGCTTAGCCATGTCCGCCGAGGATCGAGGGCCTATGCAATATTAGGTGTCCGTATCTTGCCTCAGTCGTATGTAACAAGCAATACTTCCTGACGGTAAAATTAAAATACCGGCTACAAGTGGGGGGGGGGCAAACGTCCCGTTGCAAAGGTTGGGTTGACATCTGATGATCTCGTTGATTGGATTGTTGACAGAAAATTGCGCAGAACCTGCTCAAGTTGAGATCGGGAGTTAATAGTAACAACAAATCTGGCACATAATACATAAAGTATCAGAAAGATCATGCCAACAATCAAAAAATGACTGAAGTTATCAGGCCTAGGGGTCGAAACTCGAAGGCGATTGTACCGAGGTGGCACTGCAACTTAATCACCACCATTGTGCATTCCTCTCGAAAAACCCATCGCGACTCAGGGATGTGAACTGCGTCTCACATCTTGCAATGGCCTCAAGTTGGCGATTGTGATCTGACTGCCCTCTCCAGTGCGGGTATAAAACAAGAAGGTGCGGGTATAACATCATGATAATCGATTTAAAAGTCTGTACACATCTAGCAGCAACTTCCTGCAGAAGATAGTTTTCGGATTCCGCAGGTTATTTAATTCTATTGAAGACATGGTCTCTTCATGTACTCCTTCAAACCAAGCAGGACCAAATCGGCCAGGAGTTGACTTATGGGAAGTCATGAAAACCACTCCCGAAAGTGAATGTAGCGGTATAGTTTGAGGTTCCGATCCGGGCCTCCGGATTTCCCGACATCCGAAGATGGTTTATCCGGCTGCGACGTCGGGTCCCGATGGACCCCGCGTGAGTCCCAGCTTCCAAGCAAAACCTCCCAAAATAGTTTTTCTTTGTCTTGTAAGAAAAGTCCAAAACTCATGTCAAGGCCTGATATCTGCCACAAAAGGCAGGTTTTAACATGTAGCAAGATCCAATTGAATACCTGATCTCTTCGATGGAGAATGGGCCGGTGCAGGACCCAGGAAACCCCCCATAAATGTCAGTAACTAAAATGTATGAATTTTTTGGCAAAAACCAAAAGTGATACTTACCAAAGATGTATGAATGGGTGTTTTTGGGCAAAATGTTACTCACCTGAAATGTATGGAATTTTTGGGGAACAAGGAAGGTTAGTGATAAACTCATCATCAACTACTAAAGATTGACCACTGTGGTCATTATTCCTGTGTATGAAGGAAGAAAAATTCAAAATTTTATTATTTATCAATGAAGGACTCAAGATATGGACAAATGGACGTCAGAAATGGAATCTACGGCCAATTTAACCCCTAGTCACTCACTGGAACCACCTTCATATCTCTACTGGATCAGAAGTTACACAGAATCAAGGATGTCACACGGAGAATCACAGGATCAGAGGCACTCAGATGGAGGGTATATTGCATGGGGGTATATTGCATATTGCATATTGAATTCCTTTTATGCATATTGAATTCCTTTTATACTTACAGAACCACAAGTTGGCCACCACTTGTACCAGTTAAATTCCCATTTATTCAGCCACAGAACACATGAATTCCTTTCTTACAGCTTACATATAAAAGGAATGCGTTGTAGATAGTCTAGCCAAAATCCCTCAGGATTTTCAAGGATAGGGCAGCTAAAATGCCTCATACAGGGGGTCCCTTGGGGCTAAAATCCCTCATAATTTACTATATAAGGAGGCCTCTGCCTGCCAGTTGTTTTCCTCCTCATCCCACTCAGTACACATTTTTTGGTGGGACACCTGTCACAGATTATACATATTTATTACACAAGAAATTCACGGGTAGTACAGTTCACAGATTGAAATATATACACAGTTCATTTCACAAACATTACACAGAAGAGCCAGTCCTTTGTTCCAGTCCTGGTTGAAGCATAGTGCTCCCAGTCCCTTTGGGTTCAAGAACCACCTCTATTACATATACAGCATTAAGGAAGAACACTAGTATCAAGACACCAAGACGAGAAACAACATCACCAACTCAATCAATTCTTTGGACAACAAGATCAACCTTCAACAATTATACAACCATCTTCGAACATAATCCATTATCACCAACCAAACTGCCAAGCTTACCTTGGTGGTCTTGTTTTCTGATAATATAGAAAGGCAGAGTTTGCAGCTCATTACATCCCTTTCTCCATTCAGCAAAAAGGATCTTACAATCACTTTTTGAGTCTTACACCACCTTTCCACTTATCCAAACGTCAAATCCTAAAAAAAACCACCTCAAAAGTACCTTCAAAGTCCTATTTTATTCCTCCAATCTCATAATCATTGTATCTTCCTTTCCTATCCCTGTTTATCCCTCCCCCTTCCTACCTTTTTGAAAATTGGGTTTTCTGATCCCCCCAAAACATCAAGGTTTCAACCTTATACTCCGGGTCGCGTAGGTCAGCCTATGCCTCCCAAAAACCATAATGGTTCTTTGGCCAACCAGGAGGGTTGGTCAAAGATCATAGAAATGGAGGACATTGATTCCTCTGGGTCAACTATTGACTGTTCTCAAACCCCAGTCCAATTGGACTTTACCAAAAACCCTCCTCTCAACAAGTACCACAACAATCCTGAGAATAGATTCTTTAAAGCAATTGCAATGGGAGTATCTTCATTCATCTGGATAAGGTTAACACTCTGCTTCCTCCTTTCAAGATCAAGAAGATTGCTAGTGTTGAAACTCTATCTTTGGTAGGGAAGATCACGACTCATCTAGACTCTTTTGAGAGATCACTCAACTCAGTTGTTAATTAAACTTCTAAGTAATCTCCTTCATGGGTTTCAGTACCTAAAAATGGGATTCCCCCAAATTGACCCCTCACATTGTTGCTAATTGTCCTCCTCCTTCCAACCAAGTTCTTAATGAGTTTAAGTCTGCATTTTTTATCATTCACAAAACTCTTCCAGATTCACGTCCTTTTTTCCAGATGTTGGTTTCAGGCATCACTGACAAAGTCAATAAGGTTCTCAAGGATATTGAGGCCAAGACAGATGATGGCTTGTTGGAATTTTGTCTCTTTCTCCTCATCCCTAAAAAATCCTTCTATTACACCTTTCTGTTTTAATGATATTTAGATAAAAAATTATTAATTTTACTGTGTCTTGTAAGTGTCTGAGTGGCACCTTTTTCATTGTCTAGTGCTACAATCCCTGTAGTCTTCGAACCCGGGTCTAGTCTTTATCAATGATTATTTGCTCCTGTCATCTTTTTCATGCATGTGTCAAATTGTTATTCATTTCAATATTCATTTTTCTTCTCACCCACATGTTTAACCTCTTGTATGTAGACTACTTAGCGCCTAGTCTCCTCTAAGTAAAACACCATCGGTTCTCTCCTTCATTTTGCGACCCTTTGAGCCGTTCCAACAAAAATCAATTTTGTTGCCCAAAAGTTTTCTCCTCAAAAATTTTTCCCTTCTCCGGTCATAATTTTCTTCATGGCTCATCCATCTCTATCAAAGGGGCAGCTTTTGTCCCTTCCGACGACTTCAAATATTTTACTCAAACTTCCCTTGCTGATTTGTGTAAGGAAAATCATATCCACAGTCAACGCTGGGCCTCTACACTAAACA